AGAATGTTCCATGTACATTAAAAAAGAATGTGTATGCTGCAGTTTTTTGGAGAAATGTTCTGCAAATGTGTTTTAAGTCCATGTGATCTAGTGCATTATGGCCAGTGTTTCCTTTTTTATTTTATTATTATTTACACTTTTATGTAAATGGGGTATTATCCCCTACTATTATTGCATTACTTTCAATTTCTTTATATTTGTTAATATCTTCTTAATACATTTAGGTACATCCATATTGGGTCCATAAATATTTACAAATGGTCTTTACATTTAAAGTAATTATTTATAGATATGTATTTATTGCAATCGTCTTAATTTTTTGCAGTTTTTATGTTTCTTCTCTTGTCTTTTTATTGTGGTATGCTGGTTTTATTTAGTGTTACATTTGAGTTTCTTTCTCTCTATTGTGTATATTTTGTAAGTTTGGGTTTATGGTTACCATGAGAATGGTATATAGGGAGAAATGTGTATTTATATCTATCTATCTAGATATCTATTTATATTTAGAGGGATCTAGATGCATGCACACACTCACATAGCAGTGTATTTTAGGCTAATGGCATTTATGTTCAAAAGCATTCTGAAAATGCTACATTTTTACTCCCTCTTCCGCACTTTGTTTTTAATATCATCTTTTTGTTCATTTTGTTTTTAGTGCCCCCTGTCTACTTATTGTATTTATACATGATTTTGTGAATTTGTATTTTAACTTCCATAGTGGCTTTTTAATTGACTGACCACTGCTTTACAAATTTGCATTTACTTGTGAGATTATTTTTTATGTATGTATTTTTCTATATTTCTGGTTATTGTCCCCTTTCCTACTTAAAGAAAATACTTTAACATTTATTGTAAGGTAGGTTTAGTGGTGATGAACTTTAGTATGTGCTTTTCTGGAAAATATTCTCTCTTCTTCATTTCAAAATATTAACTTGTCAGGCACCATACTCAAGGTTGTGGGTTTATTTCAGCAATTTAAATATATCCTGCCACTCTCTTCTGGCTTGCAAAATTTCTACTGAGGAATCAGTTCATAATCTTATGTGGTTTCCCTTATGTGTGACTAGTTTTTTCTTTCTCTTGCTACCTTCAAGATTCTCTTTTTAATTACACTATGTCTTGGTGTTTATCTCTTTGGGTTTACGTTGTTTGTAATTCTCTGTACCTCCCAAACATGGAGACTGCTTTCTTCCCCAGTTTAGAAAAGTTTTTTGGCCATATTTCTTCAAGTAAGTATTCGTCCTTTTTTTTCTCTTTTCCTCTGGAATCTCTAGAATGTGAATGTTAGTGTACATGATGTTGTCCCAGAGGTCCCTTAAACTATTCACATATTTTAAATTCCTGTCTTCTTTTTACTTTTATGACTGGGTGATTTCCACTATTCTGTCATCCAGGCCACAAATCTTTTTTTCTGTAGTATCTAATCTGCTGTTAGTTTCCTCTAGTGATTGTATTCTTCAACTCTGATTGCCTCTGTATTATATATTCTAAGTCTATTGATGTTCTCACTGAGTTTCTCTATTCTTCTCCCAAGTGTGGTGACCATCGTTGAGATAATTACTTCATATTCTTTATCAGGCAAATTATACATTTCCATTTCATTGGGGGGTTTTTATTCTGAGTTTTTTCTTTTTAATTTGGAACATACTTTTGTCTTTTCATTTTGTTTTACTTTGTGTTTGTGCCTGTGCAGTAAATAAAACAGCTATCTCTTCCAATCTTGAAAAAGTGGACTTGAGTAGGAACAAAGGTTTTGTAGACACTGTATGCCAAGTGGTTTTGGCTGCCAACTGCAGGTTAAATGGGTATATGTGGTGTACCATCAGGCTGGGACACAGCAAGTGCTGGCTGAGGTGTCCAGCACATGTTGTGGAGGCCTCATAGGGTGGCTAGAGTGCTTGGTCCAAGCTCCTGCCCACACTGTCGAGATGGATGGGGCATGTAAACAATGGTGCTCACAAACACCTCTGAATCCAGAGAGTTTTCCCCACACACTGAAAGTCCCTAAAGTTCTCCACCCATTTGATAGGCCCTGGGGGTCAGTAAATGAATTTTGTTCATGTAGAGTCTGGGAACCCTTTAAATCAGTGTTTTGTTGTTATGCCCCAGAATAGGTGAGTCTATCTGCAAAGGCCCCTCAGTAATATTACTCCCTACTAGTGAGTACAAGGCGCATGTGGGGGTTGGCTCCTCAAGATTACCATGTCTCCATCTCCTTATGTGGTTCCTTTCTTGTTTGTTGTACGTAAGTTGTTAAATCAGCCCTCATTTCTTCAGGAGGAATTATTCTATATGTAGGTGTATATTTGGTGTGTTCAGGGGAGAAGGTGAGTTCTGGGCCATCTTCATCTTAATCCAATATACTTTTAATAAACTGAAATATTAGTATAAATTTATGTACCATAGTTCAAGTAAATATAATAAACCTTACCATAAACTTGTTGACTCAAGTCTGTTCTAGCAAAGACAACATTTTTTAGAACATCCGAGGCATGATGCTGCTGAATTATATAATTATATCATTAAGTTTGTCAACATAAAAAATATTCAAACCTGTAGAGAATTTTTGTGAGTTCATCTGAGCCAAAAATGACAACAATTGCCAGGAAGCAAAAATCTCAATGGATTGAAAAATGCTTTCAGAGAATAGTAGTGTAACACCTTATCTTACACATTACAATTAAAAGAGGCATAGAGGATCACAAGAAATCCATTGGTGATCGGGTAGGGAGGTGGGAGAAAGCGAACTGGGGAAACCTCTGGGATTGGATAAACAGTGAAATGATACACTTTCACACAGGTGGGTAGAGGATAGTTAATAGTCAACAATTAACGTATAATAACAACAATGAGTGTATTCATAGTCTTCCCCTGGTGTAGTACCTGTGTTTCCAGGGGTCCAGATAAAGAAAATTAGACATTCCAAAGTATGTTGTTATAGGTGCAATAAAACACAGATAGGCGTAGTTAAGGTAAGGATTGACCTTTGTTAGGGAAACATACTGGCCCAGGGCATGACTACTGGCCATGAACAGCTTTCAATTAGAAAGTTTTAAATTCAGACTCTCCTATGTGGTTACTTTAGGTCCCTGAGTTTGTAAGGCCACCACACAGCCTTCCCATGAGGTGTCAGATTTTGCATGTGGCTCCTTTTCTTCTACAAGTTCCAATATTATTATTTTTGCATTTTATTAAACAAACTTTCAGAAATTACCAAGAACCTTTATAATTATTTGTAGTAATAATTTTTACAGATTCTTTAACAAAAGATAACAATTTAATGCTAATACTTTCATTTTCTTTATAGGCTTTGATGTTTGGTTTCAAAAATAGTAAATAATATTTACCCCCTTCTTAGCTATTATGTGAAAGCTGCAAGAAAAAAGTTATTTGTTTGATCCTTAGAAAAGTTAGAAGCAGCAATTGCCTGTAGGGGCAGGGCGTGAGATCCATATGTAATGCCTCTGTCAGCAAAGACTTTGGAGAAAAGGTTTATAATAAATATTCACATCTGCTGCTTTGGACACTTTAATCCATCCTAAGGATCTTTGCTGTGTCAGGCTTTGTTCTGGATGAAGAAGCCCAGTAGTTATAAAGGTTTGCAAATAAGCTATATTTATCATGGTTAGCTTTACTTTTATAACTTTCCTGTGTTTTAGAGATTTTTCAGAACTATTTGGAGTATAATTTGTGATTAAATATTTCACTGTGACTTTTATGGTGATATGCAAAATTTTCATGATGGAATGAACAAATTCTAATTTCACAATGTATTTATTACCTACTTAAAATGTGTCAGGAAGTCATTGTTGATAATAATTGTATCTGGATGTGGAAAACATAATTCAAAGTGCTTCTGATTAAATGCTAGCTCCCTCTATATGTATGTGATCATCTTAAGCAAGTTTCTTAGTTTTTCTAAATCTCTCTGCACCCATATAATGAACTTATTATTTCCTCTTATTGGATTATTATAAGGATTATAGGAAATTACCCATGTTATATAACTAAATCTAGCATCTAGCATGTTAAGAGGGTTTAATGAATTTTAAATGTTGTTGCTAAAATGATACAATATGCCTTCTAAGATGTATTAGATAATCTCATGAGTAGTACTAATACTATGTTTATTTACCTCACATACTGAACTTTTATATAAACATAGCTATTGTGTTTTTACTTACCTCCAAATTTCCTGATAGTTTGCTACTGAACTTTTAAATAAATAAAAAATACTGGTTAGGATTGAATTGCTGATATGTTTTTTCCTTTAACAAAAGTATTCACTCAAAAGTATATGGTATAAAAATTATGAGAACACTCAGTGTTGCATTCGGTTCTCTTATATAACAAAAATTTAACAGAATTTTGAATTATAAATTAGAGTAAAAAACCTTAGTCATTTTTGGAGTTGAGGTGAAAATACCTCAACTCCAAAGAAATTTGCCGAGCTAATAAATGTCACAGCTTTTAAAGCACTGATCTATTTTTATACTTGTAAGTAACAATTTAGGATAATCATAATTAAAGTGTTAAACATAATACAAATTTGAAAATACAAAGTATACCCTATATGTGTTTTAGCCATATGTACATTTGAAGCCTGTGTTTTTAAACAATTTTTTACAAATAATTCACTTGAAAAAAAGTATCTTTGCTTACTGCTTTCAATCTCATCTCCTCAAAATTATTTATTAACCCCAAATATAAGGAAGCTAGGAGAGCACTTGATGACCCTGTGTATAAAGTAGGTAAACCAATAGGTTTACTTTGTCATTTTACACTTTTATAATCTAACCATGGACATATCTTAATTTTGACTGGAATTATTTTCTATTCAGTTGGGAGTTAGTTCATATTTAATGACTGATATATGACATAAAATGAGCCTGTTGAATTACAGTGGAAACAAAACTGTCTATTACATTGCGGAGAACGTGAAATTAAACTTTGATATTCCCCCCGTCTCTCCTCTCTCTTCCCCTCTCTCTCCCTCTCAGGTCAATTATTAGCTCAGGCAAGTGACAGTGGGGTCGTTCATTTGCTGGACCTTAAATCAGGGCAGATTCACAAGTTGATGGGCCATGAGGATGAAGTTCATGCCGTCGTGTTTTCTCAGGATGCAGAGAGCCTGTTCTCTGGAGGCTCCGAGGGCACCGTTCGAATGTGGTCTTGACAGCCCCCATGTCCCACTGCAGAGGGTACTCCCTTAAGGCTTGAACACGCTTCGTATAGTCCCAAACCAGTGACAGCCTGGTTAAGTATGCCAGCCAGTAGCATTTACCATTTGCTTTAAAACAGCCTTTGAACATGTATTTTAGTGCTCATACTGTTATCAATAAATAAAAAAAAAAACTTTCTGCTCATTTGTGCCTGGGTGTTTTTTTTTTTTTTTCTTATTTTAATAAGATTTTAGAGACAGCGCATTTTTTTTCCTAGGAGTTTGGAAAAAACAGCTTAACAATGACGCCTAATGACAGACTAGATGAATTACAGGAGACTGCTTTTGAATGTTAGAGAACAAACTGCAGGAGAATGAGGCTACTTTTTTAAAAAATCAAATTCAAGCTGCAGGACGACTTAAAGTTTAACCATGTAGCACAGGGACAGTGTTTCTTCAACCAGAATCAATTAGAATGGCAGAGCATACATTTTACAGATTATCTGACAATGATTATGCTCTATCTATAAATAATAATCAGAGACTGCAGCTGGTTTAAATCTAAATGCAAGTCTCTTCCAGAACTTTCACCTCTGCAGCCCATCCAAGAATGCATTAGGTATAATTACAATGGTTCTTTTTTAATGTTTAATTGTAAAATTTCAATGCAAATAAGTATCTCGCACGTAAAATGCGCCCTCCGCCCCCCGCTCCATGCATGCATCAGCTGTATAAAGTGCGACTGCTTGGAGAACACTAGCCTGGTCTAAAAAGCAAGCAGCTCGGGATTTCGGCCGAGATGGGCTCAGAAGCCAGTTGGCGCTGTCCGTGGTGCTGAGGAATTCCCGGCTGCCGGCAGAATGAGCTCCAAATCAGCAGTCTGCAAACTGCTCTCAGTGATGCAGAAACCCAGCTAAAGTTGCTCCTTTCCTTCACGTCCACAGTTAGTATTTTCTGGTGTGTAAGAGGGGATTCAAGCAACATATTGTGGATGATGCTGATGTTATTGCCAGCAGAGCGGGCTTTAAGCTACAGCATGCTGTTGCTGTTTGTGATCCACAGAGCCTAGCCAAATCACCTCTACTGCCGTAGCAAACACTGTGTAAGTGAACTCATGTGTGGAAGAGGCGTAATCAGCCGGGAAATTTCATAGAAGAATCTGAGAAAACGCTAAAAATAAGTTCAACATGATCCTGCTACCGGGGTCTGGATTTCTACAGGACCAGCATTGCTTCTTGCACTGAATTTTGAAGACGGGTCCAAAGCATATTTCTTATGTGTGTCTGCTGTATTTCTCTCTGGAAGGGTGGGAGACTGCTTCTTGACTGTGGTTTGAAATGGGAGGTAGAGAAAATGGATTGCCTTTAATTCAAGCCTGAAAATGTATTCTTTGGATAATTAAAGAGGAACTGCTTTCCTAAAACATTCCTAATCTTTTAGTTCATATTGGTCTATGACCCCTATCACCACCATTAACCTCCAGAGTGATTAGGTAAGTGTGTCTTATGACATGAGTTATGTTTGTTTTCTCAAAGAAAAAGATGCAGTCATTTTAAATCATATGTAGCAATGTGGGGAGGGGGGAAAGTTTGGCTCGAAAATGATCTTCCATTTAGTAATGTTTACTTATTAAAAACCTTCATATAAACATTATATTGGATTTCTCTAATGATTTTTTTTCTCTTAAATAGTGTCTTAAACTGCACTAGAGCAGCTCAACTATAAACTGGAATTTTAAAAAATAACCTAAGAACTTTGTTATATTAAATAGAAAACCTTGTTTTCTTCATGCAGATTTTAAATGTTTCATATGATGAGCATATCTGATGTTTATATAAAGTGGGTATTACACCCCTTTTTACCTTTTAAGTTTACATTTGCCATAACCTGATATTAATGCCTACCTGTAGCTTGCAGACAGATCATTTCTGTCTATGTCCTTTTGAAGCAGAATGATATGGATATTTTATATGGCTTATCTTGCACGTATTGACAAGTGCTACTGAAATACTATAAGGAAGCACACTAGCTTTCCTTTCTTTCAAATAAACTTTCTTAATATGTGAGAGATGTATAAAATGCATGACTTAATTAGTAAAAAAAATTTATATGCTTTTTCAGAAGCTTCTGTGATGTTTGTAGCCTCTGTAGTAATTTAAGAGAAAAAATGCTTTGTCAAAGGGAGCTTCCAGCTTCTCAAGTAGAATTATAGGTTTGCATTTTTTGTTCTGTCATGACTCATTATTTTTGGCATATTTCAAAAGAAATCCATCTCAGTCATCATTACCTACCCAAGAGGAATTCTAATATCAGAAATCAGTTTTCTCCTGAAGGGAGGGCATGAATATACTACCTTACATTTTACTATTACTAGAATTTGCATATCTAACTTAAAATGCAAATGTTATAGTTCATAAAGTTTTCTAATGCTATCTTTATCTTATGTAAAAGTGTCATCTCTATGATAGGCTGAAAACACATGGTTTATCATTGCCCTTATTATAATCTGAAAATAAACCAATAAATTTCAGATCATACATGATCTAAAAATGCCCTATATACAATTTTAGTGATATTTGGCATAAAGCCAAAAACATTTAACTAGACAAATGAATTATTTGACAGTAGTTCTCTTTATCTATGACTCCCTAAGGTAAGTTTCTCCAGAGTTTTCATATGAGTTAGTCATTCTAAACATTTGTATGAGAAGCCACTAGGCACACTCCACACCAAGCACTATGTGAAGAATACAAGAGTCAGTGCCACCACACTGACAAGGCATGTTTTCCATGAATGGCAACACCTCATTACTATTTTATGAAACCAATAAATAGCCTGACACTGGCATTTTTGTGGAAAATACCTTTGGCATGTCAAAAGAGATGTATGTTTTCAAGACTGTGAATGGTATTTATTATATATTGAAGTAATTCATTCCAGTAGTATTCCATGAATACCAGATTCAAGTTGTTGAAAAAAAAATTTCAGATACCTCTTTCCTGCCCACCGGAAGCTTACTCTCTGAGTAAAATAAAGGTGTGGACAATAATACAATACAAATAAATTTAAGTACCAGGAGCTCTCTTGTATTGTATTATTTATTATTAAATGTTCTATCTTATTGACTGTGGAATAGTTATACTATTTTTCTTCTTAGCTAAATTTCAAAATCCAGATTTACATTGACTGAAACAAGTAACCCACACTGTGATCATTGTTGTTCTTCAATTATGAGCATAAAGAAGTAGGAAGGCCTTTTTTACTAGCTCCATTCCAATTACAATGCACATTCAATTGCTGGTTTCTTCCCTTTCTGTTAGAAGTAGAATTTGACTCACTAATCTCTTGAGTTTTCATATAGATGATTGTAACATATATTCTTTCTATTAAAAAATAATAGAAAATGTCCATTAAATTATTCTTGGGTTATTTGTAAGGAACCACTTGTAAAATCACCTTTTGAGGGTCAGTAACATCATTTCCTACAATTTAGACAAAACCAGACCTTTATAATTTAGAACGTAAATTCAAGATAAAGATTCCTATGTGAAATAACTCCATAAAAGACTAATTTTAATGTCTATATTACCAAGGATCAACTCTCCAGACTTCATAATAAAGTGTAGGTCATTGTGTGGACCTCTATTTGAAGTCCATCTTCCAAACAGATCCCAAGTAAGCAGGTTAAGGGCATAGGCTTAAATAAATCTACATTTTCTTTCTCTATGTCAAATTATTTTTTTAATATCTATTTTCAGCCTACCCCTCTTATATTCCCATGGAAGGAGCTGAGTATATTTAATATTAGGAGCACATCCAGAAGCCTTTGTGGAGGGGGATGGCTCTTCATATTCATGAAGCTTGCATACTTCTGTTGGTCATCCCTGGATTGGTCACCTCTGCTGCCATCAGTCATGAAGACTACCCTGCTGATGAAAGTGACCAGACCTCCAGTAATGACAATTTGATCTTTGATGATTATCGAGGGAAAGGGTGTGTGGATGACAGCGGCTTTGTATACAAGCTGGGAGAACGATTTTTCCCAGGGCATTCCAACTGTCCATGTGTCTGTGCTCTGGATGGACCTGTTTGCGACCAGCCAGAATGCCCTAAAATTCACCCAAAGTGTACTAAAGTGGAACACAATGGATGCTGTCCTGAGTGCAAAGAAGTGAAAAACTTTTGTGAATATCATGGGAAAAATTACAAAATCTTGGAGGAATTTAAGGTATGAGTTACCATCCATATTTATTGAATACTAACTTTTCACACTACATACTTAGTAGATCACTACATTAATAAGCTAGAAAAACATTTTAATTTCTCTTTAATCTACAATGCTATTCCAGTTAGCATAAGAACCACTGTAGTCAACAAAAGCCATTGGTTTGTGGATCAGTACCTAAAGGGTTTCACAACAGTTCTTTCCTTCAGAAGTATTTATGGTATGCTAACATCTATTTTTCACCCTTAATCATTTTAATGTGTTAATATGAAATATATTTTCTGGTAGGAACACTTTAAATTGTATGATATTTGTGTGTGTGTGTGTGTGTCTTATTAGCCCCTGTTTAGTTAAATCTATTGCCTAGAACTATCTATCTGTTCAGTGTGTGGAAATGCAAGTGCTATAGAGACACAATTCTGAGCTGTGGTCTTCATATGAAGAACATGCATTAGACCTACTTGTTGTAGAGCTTGGTCCCCATTCTGTTCTCTGATCATTAGCTTTTTTAAATTTTTTTTTTTACTTATAGGACTCCAGAGAGGCCTGAAATTTTATCATAGCCCATTGGAAAAGTAGTAAAAAAAAGATATTTTTCACCCTCCATGCTATTTCTTGACATTTATTTTATGCTTGTATCTTATTTTCAAGTAACTTGGAGTTCATTTTTATCTCTTTTTAGGGTTTCTTTTCTCCAATGGCCAGTTTTAATTAGTTTTTTTTTTTACAAGCCAGATCTTAGCCCTGAGGTATAGATTAATATATCAAATTACCCCCCTTAGATGTAATGGCAGTTTGTGCCTTGGAGTGTCTGTCATACTGATGACTTGATATAAAAGATTTTAATTTTATCCAACCAAGTTCAGTGACAAAGCATTCAGAACCTTATAGGCAAAAGAAGATACAGCTATTTTTCAGTGTGACTATTTGTGTTTAAGAGAAGAATGTTCAGTTATTAGCATTGACCAAACTCCTCCACAAGAGCCAAATGGTGGAAGAAGGCAATGTGTGGGGAAAAGATTTTAATTGGTAATAATCAGAGCATTTGGTGTATTAGCATTTTATTGCATTTAATTCATTCTAGATTATGGGTACAAACCAGTTCTAACTTACTCAAGGATACTAGTCATTCTATCTAGATCCCCAAGGACCTGAGGGGAGTTTCAAAGATAATTATCATACTCAACTATCTTATACATAAGTGTTAGTCTAGACCTGAGTCTTTTATTTGTTGCACAATATTTAGAAGAGACCTGAAAGTCTAGTAAAATTACCATTATTGACATCTAATAGTTAAGGGTGTAGTACATTTATTAATGACTTATTTGTCTGTAAAATATTGGATACACTTTAACATTGGCAAAAGTAGGTTTACCATCGTGTTTATGAGAAGCAGTTTATTCCTGTGTTATTAATGTATTATTATTATGAACCTACTTTTGCCCACCTTGTATGTTCCTGCTGTAGTCATTATATAACTCACTGATGTGCCCTTTTCCACCTGACTCACTATGGCATGAAATTTTTTAACTGTAATTTAAAAATAAATGCCACTTTTCCACAACAAGTTAAAGATTATCCAGGGCAAATTCTTAAGAATGAGGATCTGAGACCAAGAAAGTTTGTTACGTGTCAAAAAATTGTCAAGTTATTTAACCTGTTTTTACATACCACCATACTAACAATACAGTCTACATAACCTCTCAAAGCACTTTGGCTAGAGAGCCAGATAGACCTGGATTCCAGTCCCAAATACATCACTCAGAAGTAAGACTTTGGAAAGAATCCTTAAACTTCTTTTTAAGCCAGAGTGTTATTGGCTATAAAATGACCATCATAATAATTACTTCTTTTGAAGGAGATATTGGAAAGATTTAGTGAGATAATTTATGCAAAGTTAGCAGACTTGTGATGACTAGTACAAAATAGATATTGAATAAACGGTGTTCCTAGTCTTCTACACTCTAATGTCTAGGGATTTACTTTGAAGTTGTAAATTCCTCTATATCTTCACCTATGACTTATTGTGGAAGACCAGCTTTAAAAGTAATTCAATTGGAAGCATCCAATACCTTTTTAAAAATGTTCTACTTATCGATGTGAAGTATATGCACCTAAGTAAATAACAGCCATAATTGGTCCATCTTGATTTTCTTTCAATTCAACTTGCAACAGACAAGTGACAAATTTATAAACATGTTTGAAACTTTCATGTAATGATCTTGGCATGTTATTAAAGAGGTTATACTATGAGGTATGTTTACATATAATGTATTCATCTAACAAGCATTTATGGGACTGTTTAGTATATAGGACACTGTAGATGGACTTGCATTGGAAAGTAAGATATCTAGAAGACAAAATCTCCACTCTCTGGAAACGCTCGGACAATGTGAAGACAGATGGAGTGGGGGCGGGGTGTAGGGAGTAGTTTAAAGTACGGGAGTGTGAAGCTCAGCACCAAGAAATGTGGTGTCAGAAGCTTATCAACATGCTGTGAGGTTTGGTCAGCAAACGTTCTTTTTCTTCAGGATGGTCAAATGTTAGCCTGTTTTTAAGGAAGTAATTGAAATTGATCTGGGGAGATTAAAATTCCAAAGAGGAAACTACTTAAGCCAAATCAGACTGGGGTGAATAAAATCTACAAAGAGAGGAAAGAGATAGGGATAACAAACAGCTGGATCTTACGAAAATCCTACTTTAATAAGAGAGGTACATTTGTGTATGTGTTTTGGACAGTGGAAAGACAAACCTGAATACTGGGCCAGAATGTTTAGATTCAATTTAAAGAATAACAAGGAATACAATACATGTTTATGTGCATAGAAATGACCTAGTTAGATATGTTTTTTTAAAACAAGATTACCTTGTAGCCAAAAATAGAAATGAGTAAGAAGTGAAGATAAATGAATGGCTGGGGAGGTAAGGCTGTTGCATAAAACAAAGAATGAGCTGACCAGCATATGTAAGGACATAAACATTCATAGAGTGTTTAGGATAAGAATCTAAATTCCCTAGTATAGTCTAGATTCAATTCATCAACCTCTCCAACTATCTCTAATTCTCAGTGACTTCTCTTCCCTGTTTACTTGCACATTCTGTCCCACACTTTTTCACCATTGCATCCTTGCATAAACCCTACAAGATTACTTCAAAATTCCATTTAAATCTCATCTCCCTGGTTGGTGTAGCTCAGTGGATTGAGTCCCAGCCTGCAAACAAAAGGGTCGCTGGTGTGATTCCCAGGCAGGGCACAGGCCTGGGTTTCAGGCCATGTCTCCAGTAGGGGGAGCACAAGAGGCAACCATACATTGATGTTTCTCTCCCTTTGTCTTTCCCTTCCTCTGTCTCTGAAAATAAATAAATAAAATCTTTAGAAAAAAATCTCAACTGGAAAGCTGTCTGATTGTCCTACTGCAGTACCCTGGGCTGGGTCTCACTCTTCTACTATATCATCTCACTGCAAGCTGTGCACACCAAGAACTATATCTATAGCAAGACACCGTTAAGACCTTTATATGTATTAAAATGCATTTCATTTAATAATACCAGTATGAGGATTATACTTTCATTAGCACTGTTTTACAGATAAAACTGCAGCATCAAAGTGTAAGTAGCTTGCCCAACACCACAGAGCTCTAAAATAAATAAACTAGGATTCAAACCCAAGCAGCTGGCCTGCAGAATATAGGCTCTTCACCACCTCTGCTGCCTTTATCACACTACAATAATACAATCTGACACCATCTGTCTCTCCCACTAGACAGTGAACCCATTAAGCCCAGGGACCGTATTTCCTTTTCTCTCACAACCCCAGCACTGCCTGAATTCAGTACATTTTTGGTGAATGACGTAATGAGTCAGATGATAAGTGAACCCATTGAATAAAGCAGTTTAAATTAGAGTTTCTTTAAAATGTGCTAGAGCAAGACATAAACAGAAACTATTTTAATTAGCTAAAAGAAGCACTGAAAGTTCAGATAAACAGTACTCTTTGGGCCCCTAGAGATGACACACCTTTTTCACGGAGCACCTGTTTCTGTCCTGTGACTGGCTACTCATCTCCCTACCCCTCCCTAAACAAGGCTCATCCTGGTTTCTCCCTCCCAGTGCTATCTTTACCCACCCAGTGCTTTATGCTGTCTGCTGTCTCACTCTATACTGTTGCATAGCATATGTCCCTCCTCCAATCTCTTCTGATCACCAAATTCAAGTGTAAATTGAACCACCCGTGTCACTGGATAAGAATACTAATGTTATGTATAAGGGCTGAATTTTTTTTCAACATAACTGGTGCAAGCTTTGAAAATGAATTTCTCTCTACTCTTTTTGAAAACTCTAAATTTCCCAGTGTTCTAATGATGTATTAAGATAAAGGCCATTGTATAGTAGGTTCTCTCATCTTTCTTTTATGTGTACCCAGGCAAAAAGACACTGGACCTACCTTTGAGAAAATAAGGAGTGTAAACAATAAGTTACGATAGCATTTTGAACAAAAATATTGATTGGAAATGCAGGCTCTGTCAGCTTTGGCTCTGTGCTTAACTATCTTCTGCTGAGTTTCCCAAAGGCAGAAATAGTTGCTTATTTTGCTCAGTATTTTTATAACTCTCACGCAGCTAGAATTAGCCATTTTGGATGTTTTTTATACTGTAAAATTTGTACTGATTCAGTTTGAGGTCAGACACTGAAGGTTATACTCTATGCAGCTGGAAGAGATAGTTCAGGTTTGCGTCGCCTCTCTCAGTTCAATGTGATTTTCTCAAGTCAAAACCTTGTGTTTCTAATTCAAGATTTGCATTTGCCAAAGACCTTTCTTTCTCTTCGGGCATTGACCTTTGCCTTTTCCCCATGCAGGCCAAAGACAGTAAATCAGGTTTTTGATTTTTATTTTTAAAAGGTTCAGTGTGATTTTATTTTCTCTTTCCTCACACTATATGTACATGTTTTGTTTAAAGCAAAGGTATTTTCATGTTGTAGCAAACTGACTAGTTTGGGCCCTG